AGCAACAGCAACATCAACGGTGACAGCGATATAGCGACACCGACAGCAACAGAAACGGCGACAGAGACAGCAATGGTAGCAACAGCAACAGCAACATCAACGGTGACAGCGATATAGCGACACCGACAGCAACAGAAACGGCGACAGAGACAGCAATGGTAGCAACAGCAACAGCAACAGCAACAGCAACATCAACGGTGACAGCGATATAGCGACACCGACAGCAACAGAAACGGCGACAGAGACAGCAATGGTAGCAACAGCAACAGCAACAGCAACAGCAACAGCAACAGCAACGGCGACAGCGACAGCAACAGCAACGGCGACAGCGACAGCAACAGCAACGGCGACAGCGATAGCGACACCAACAACAACAGCAACGGCGACAGTGACACCGACAGCAACAGCAACCGCGACAGTGACACCGACAGCAACAGTAACGGCGACAATGACAGAAACGGTAGCAAAAGCAACAGCAATAACAAGAGTAGTAACAGCAACAACAACCGCGACGATGGCAACAACAGCAGCAACAGCAATCGTGACAGCAACCGTAGCAACAGCAGCGACAGCAACAACAGCAGCGACAGCAGCAACGCCGACGATAGCATCATCTCACCTGTTCTTCGCAGCGGCGGCGCGATCTCTCTGCCGACGGTTCTTGAACCAGTTTCCGACCTGCGTCGGCGTCAGACCCGTCGCTCCTGCCAGCTCCTTCTTCTTCCCCGGATTTGGATACGGATCCTGCAGGTACCACTCTCTCAGCAAGCCGCGCGTGCGCTCCTTGAAGCAATGCGTCTTCTGCTCTCCATCCCAAATCGTCTGCGGCAGCGGGAACTTCTTGCGCACGCGATACTTGTCGACGGGTCCCAGCGGACGTCCTCGTTGCTTCTCCGCCTCCTGGTAGTGCGCCTCCAACCACATCACCTGCAAACGCCCATGCGATTCACTCGCGAACTTATGCGACTCGAGAATGCGGTAGAGTTCGGCGAAGTTGCTCTGATGGAAAGCGACGAGCGCCCGCGCTCGCACAACCGCCTCCGCCTTGTGTATGACATCGGCGGCGTCGCCACGCGACGTCGGCAGCGACCAGAGAAAGCGCGCCAGTCGCTCGACGTCTCCGCTCTCCTCTAGCGTCTCGCAGACCCGCGACACCTGTCCCGTGGAGAATCCGAACAGCGGTAGAAAGGAGAAGCTCGAGGAGACGACAGGAAGGCGATGCATCGTCGGCGTCGTCGGTGAGTCGGAGTAAGCCGAAGGAAGATGTGCAGGCGACGGGGTTATCTTTCTCGTTCTTGGTGTTTTATCTTCATCGCTGAAGTCGGCGGAGTTTTATATCTGGTCGCACGTCGCCTTGACTTGCTGCATGCACACGGTGGAAGGAATCCTTTGCGATGGGAGCGTGTAGCGAGTTGATGAGGTCCGCTTCTTCCACGAACACTATATAGTCTCTGCAACCACCGCCTAGCTTAACTTTCTCTCTCTCTCTCTCTCTCTCTCTCTCTCTCTCTCTCTCTCTCTCTCTCTCTCTTCTTCTCTCTCCATCTCTCTCTCTCTTTCTCCTCTCGTCTCCTCTCTCTCATCTCTCTCTCTTCTCCTCTATCTGCTGTCTCTCTCTCTCTCTGTCCTTTGTCGCGCACGGTCTTCACGGTCTCTCTCTTTCGCTCTCTTTCCGCTCTCTCCTCTCTCTCTCTTGCTCTCTCTTTCTTTCCCGGCTCTCTAACTCTCATTTCATCTCTGTCTCTCATTTGCAGCACAGCTCATGCACACTATCTTCGCTGCGCTGGGCGTCCGTCTGATTGCTGCACGTCCACTCGGCAGCGAATTCAACACATACGCCCCGCTCCGCGATCGTTCCAACGCCCGACTAATTAGCAGAGGCATAACTCAGTTGCCATGACGACGCGTGTCGACTCAGCGAGCGGTCGTCGCGACGGAAAACGTGCGCGAGAGCGACGCGTTAAACGTCGTTCAATTCGCACCGCGCGCTTGTTGAAAAACAGCGCTCAGCTTTTGTGACCCGCAAAGGAAAAACACGCGTTCGCCGCTTACGTGGAGTGCGTGTGCGTGTGTGTGTGTGTGTTGTGTGTGTGTTGTGTGTGTGTGTGTTGTGTGTGTGTGCTGCGTGTGCGTGTGTGTGCGTGTGTGTATGCGTGTGGTGCGTTAGTGTGGCGCGCGCCGCAGCGTGCATGGTGTGCGCTGGTGTGTGTGCGCGTGGCTGGTGGCGTGTGTGGTGTGTGTGTGTGTGTGTTTGTGTGTGTGGTGTGTGTGTGTGTGTGTTGTGTGTGTGTGTCTGTCTGCCTGTGTCTGTCTGTGTATGCTCGGTCTTGGCTGCACGCTATGCCTCAGGCGTGTTAACTTTGTAAAGTGACTCGTCACGGCTGCTGACACATCATGGAGGGATATCGCGCGTCGGGGCGCTGAGACGTGTACGTGAGATATTATTAATCCGCCGTTTCATGCACCGCCGGGGAAAATCACCGTCTATATATTTCCGTACGTGCGTGCGTGAGTATACACACACGCACATGCACATACATGCGTGCGTGTGTGAGTATGCATATGCACGCACATACGTATAACGTAATACCACCGCCGCATACACGCATGCACGCACATATGCCCACATACCATACGATATACTCAACAACACGCACGCACTTGAGTATACGTTACGCATGTGCGTGTATGTGTGCGTGCCTGCGTGTATGCGCGCGTGCGTGCGTGCGTGCGTGAGTAAATATCTATGTTGGGGTGCGTGTGCGCCGTGTGTGGAGAAAGAAAATGGAAGTGTAAAATTATTATTTTTAGATATTCCTTCAAGTATCTCTATATCACCTAATGACTATAACTGGGCCGATGGTTTTCCTACTCCATCAAATAATGTTTGATCAGTGAGACAGAGGTGAACTCGGGTTGGGATCAGAATAATTAATTAGGGATAAAAGTAATTATTCCATGCGCGCCGCATATCCTCCGTATTTATAAACTGGCACGCGATAACGTTACATGGGATCACGGCTGATGTAAGCATAAGAAATAATATACTAGTCAGACATAGATAGTCCTCTATATATTCTATGGTGCAAGCACAATCTGTGTTATCAGGAGTGACTAATGACAAATTGCTCATTATTAATTTGTATATGTCAGCTTGTCATTATTTGCCCCTGTGTTAGTGAATGATTTCGTGACATGCATAAACGTAGTGTAAGCAATCGCCGCCATTATCCTCTATAAGCTTTCTCTTTTTGTTCTACCATCTAATCTCCTTCCTGCTCCCTGCTCTCCATCTTGTTCCTTCACAAAGTTCTGTAAAAGCTCGGCGTTCTTTCCATCATTGTCCCCTTTTGGTTTTTTTCTTCCGCGCCTGTTTGTTCTCTCTCCATCCTGGCCTCCATCCTATCTCATTTCTTCGCTCAGCAACCATTTTCTGCGTTCCTTTCCCACTTTCACGCCTTCTAGCGTTCGTTCCACGACATCTGCCGTTCTCACGGTTTTTGCTTCAGCTCCCCTTATCTCTTCGTCCAAATTCGGTTCTTTTCCCGCAGTCGTCTTTAATCGTTCTTTTTTAGCCTTTCCAATTTGTTAATTTCCGTCAGATTCAGCGCTTTAAGTTTTTCGCCCCACATCTCTTTTTCGCGTCAATCCTTTTCCTCAGCTATCCTTCTCTATGGCGTCTGCCTCTTTCACACATACCTCACACCTCTCTCTCTTCGCTCTCTCTCTTCTTTCACCCTGCATCCCTTCCTATGCCTGTCTACGCGCTCCTCTCTCTCGTCTCTTGCTCTCCTCTCTCTCTCTCTTCCTCTCTCTCTCTCTCGTCTCTATCTCTCTCTTCTTTTGCTACTCTGGCATCCGCTTCCTAATCCCCCGCTCTATGCTCTCTCTCGCTGCACGTCTCTCGCCAAAAATTGAAACCAGCTTCGCGAATGGTATTTGCACACGATTGCTGCGAAACTTGTGCATGGCTCTCAAGCTAACCAACACTGAGACAAACATAGAGTCTTACTTATTATCCATTGATTACGTGCCCCAACGCAAACACGTCGTATAGATTTTCGTGTACACATTAATACATCTGAGTCGAAAGGAATACAAGGTCGGAACAAAGTACTTGTGATATTAAGGCCGCGCTAAATTGCCTCTAGAAGAGCGAATAATTGTTATAGCCAGTGGGATATTAGTCTCGATGCAATATGGTCACGCGAGCCGCTAATTACGAGCCTTTAACGATAAACAAAGTCCAGAAAATTAAAGGCAGAGTCCACAGGTTGAGCCGGAGAGGTTGATCACGAGCTTAGATCAACACGAGCGCTTCGGCTTGGCTCTATTGCTTTGGCGTGCGATCGAATGAAGGATGCCTTCGTGACGAGAGAATGCGCAAGGCAGTGTGTGAGCAGAAGCAGAAGAGAGGAGAGAGAGAGGGGAGGGAGAGAGACGCGGGGCGACGCAATGTGTGGGCGAGAAGCAACTAGGCGGCGAGAAGAGGGAGAGAGCAGCAGAGAGAGGAAAGTAGGGAGAGGGAGAGAGGAGAGGAAGAGGGAGAGAGGGAGAGAAAGAGAGAGGGAGAGATGGAGAGAGAGAGAGAAAGAGAGAGAGAGAGAGAGAGAGAGAGAGAGAAAGAGAGAGAGAGAGAAGGAGAGGGAGAGGAAGAGAGACGCGGGGCAAAGGCATGTGTGGGCGAGAAGGCACTAAAAGCGGCGGGAGAGGAAGAGGGAGAGAGAGGGAGAGGGAGAGGGAGAGGGAGAGGAAAAGAGGAAAAGAGGAAAAGAGGAAAAGAGGAAAAGAGGAAAAGAGGAAAAGAGGAAAAAAGAAAAAGAGGAAAGAAGGAAAAGAGGGAAAGAGGGAAAGAGGGAGAGAGGGAGAAAGGGAAAAAGGAAGAGAGAGAAAAGGAGAGAGAAAGAGGGAGAGAGAAAGAAGAAGAGAGAGAGAGAGAGAGAGAGAGAGAGAGAGAGAGAGGGAGGGAGAGGGAGAGGGAGAAAGAGCGGGAGAGGGAAAAGGCAACGACAGCGAGAATAAGAGGGGGCGTGTGATCGAGAGAGAGAGGAGAGGAGTGCGCGTGTACATGTGTGGGCGAGGGAGAGAGCGTGTGTGGGCGAAAAAGCGTTAGAGGGAGAGGGAAAAGAAGAGGGTCCGGGAGAGGAAGAGGGAGAAGCAGCAAAGAGCGGCAGAGGCAAAAGCAGTGGTAGATTCAGGACGGCGAGGATTGAGGATGCAGATAGACAAAAACGGGAAAGAAAAAGAAAAAAAAGATTGGGGAGAAGGAGATGTGGGGCGAGAGGGAGAGGCAGAGGAGCAAGAGGAATAGGAGGAGATAATGAGTGAGTGAGAAAGGAAAAGGAGGAACAGAGTGAGGTATATGAAGAAGTGGACGGACAGGGAGGGGCATGGGAACAAGGAGAGGAAAAGAAAAAGAGAAAGAGAGAGGAAAAAGGAAGAGAGAGAAATAGATAAGGAAGAAAAAAAATTCACATCTAACTTCAACTTCAAACCGTGATCCCTTCTAGAAACATCATTATGACGTGTTTATTACTGGGCATTAAACCAAACAAAGTTAGCACTAACCTCAGGCCTAGTATACTTAATTCCACTTTTCTTATACGTTACCGTTACAAATACTAACAGCCATGTGTTTTAATGTCAATGCACCTAGATTCCGCTTAACCTACTCATGATCACCATATGTGTAGTATTACATTGTGTGTGTGTACGTGTGCGTGTGAGTGTGCGTGTGCGTGTGCGTGTGCGCGTGCGCGCGCGCGCGTGTGTGTGTGATAGAGAGAGAGAGAGAGATATTGAATTTAGATTCTTATAGGCGATTTAGGCCTACTTCTCTTCGAAAATCTGTCGACAACTGCAAATCTAAATTAATACACCCAATCCTAGATTAATACACCCAATACTAGATTAATACACCCAATCCTAGATTAATACACCCAATACTAGATTAATACACCCAATTCTAGATTAATACACCCAATTCTAGATTAATACACCCAATCCTAGATTAATACACCCAATCTTAGATTAATACACCCAATCCTAGATAGTGCGTGTGCGTGCGTGCGTGTGCGCGTGTGTGAGAAAGAAAATTGAATGAAAATATTATTTTTAGAATTTCCTTAAAGATTCTCTATATCACCCTAATGACTATACTGCCGATGGTTTCCTACTCCCATCAATATAATGTTTGATCAGTGAGACAGAGGTGAACTCGGGTT